AATGTTATGGAGTACGGTTTTTTAAATCTGTTAATTGCATTTAGATGGTTTTTATTCGTATTAATTGGTATATAAGTCTAACTGCTATATAATACCATGTTTCCCTGAAAATAAGATAGGGTCTTATTTTCTTTTGACCCCCCCAAAATAAGTGCTTGGCCTTATTTTTGGGGAGGTCTTATTATTTTTGAGGTGCAGGAGGTGGTGAGCGTGGTCACCTCATGGCTGCTGCTGTGTTGCAATATTTTCAGGGAGGGCTTATTTTCAGGGGAGGACTTATTTTAGCACATGCGCTCAAAAGCCTGATTGGGCTTATTATTCAGTGAGGTTTATTTTCAGAGAAACAGTGTACTTTTTAAGACAAACTTCCAATTCTACTTTTCCTTCCCAGGAACATGGCGGTAACCATATCTCAAACCAAGATTCTACAGAACAAAGAAAGATATACAGACATCTCTTGGCAACACCTCTAGGGTAAAAATATTCAGCACTCTGATCACTTATTGTGAAGCAGCCTGCCTCTGCTTCAGTGCTATCTCTCAGTAAAAACATCTGAATATCTGTAACCTCACCTTTCATGATTGGAGTGCGCCAGCGCCAAAAACCTCTCTGGGGCAGCAGCATCTTCTTCCTCCTCTTCCTCATGAGCATCTGTGATGTCACGGATGATAATGGAGTCTTGGCAGTCTGGGCCATGATCCAAAAGGGCTGTCTAAGGACACAAGAGCAACAAGCAGTTTATCCAACACCCTTAGCATCATTTTTCTTAGTCAGACAATTGTTATTATAGAAAAACTGTTAACGCTCTGGCAATTATTAGAATTCCTAGTGAAACCGAAACGCATTATAAAAAAAATATTAACAGGCATTATTAAGAAGGAATTTTATAACTAAGCTACCGTAAGACAGGGTCTTATTTTTGGGGAAACATGATAGCTTAGTTAGTTATAAAACAGGGTCTTATTTTCTTTTGACTCCCAAAATAAGCACTTGATCTTATTTTTGGGGAGGTCTTTTTTTTGAGTGCAGAAGGCAGCAAGCGTGGTCACCTCATGGCTGCTGCTGTGTTGCAATATTTTTTGGGGAAAGCTTATTTTCCGGGGTGGTGGTGGTGGTTATTTTAGTGCATGCACTCAAAAGCGGAGAGGGTTTATTTTCAGGGAAACAGGGTAGAATGAATTTAGCATGAACTGCTTTAGGAGGATCGGGAGGGAAACAAAACAAGTCTTACGGTTTCACAGTCTTCCACGGGAATGCGCATGTACTGGCGGCTGAATTTTGGAGGCGAAGGGTCTGAAGCATCGGCCAAAGACCTGGGAGAAGTAGAGCACAGAGAGCTGTGGAGGTGGATGGACAGATGAGCCACAAAGCTTTGTATGCAGAAACCGCTGCATGTATGCAATGGAAGCATTCCCCAGCAAGAAAATCGTCACCAGAGAAATGGCTTGGTAAAAACAGAAATAGGTTTTGATCAACTTGAGTTTTTCACCTCTCAGAGGTCTGAACAGTCCATGAAAACAAATTCGCAGAGGGAAGCTTTACTCCTCTCTTAAAAGATACAAATAAATTAACATTTGCATGCTTCGGAAGAATGCTTTTTAAGACACTAGACCAGTGATGGCGTGCCCAAGGTGGCATTCAGCACTCTCTCTGTGGGCATGCGAGCCATTGCCCCAGCTCAGCTCCACCTCGCATGTGCTCCTGCCTCCCTCTGGCCAGCTGGTCTTTGGGTCTCTGCCGTGCATGCACGGGGTGCACACATGCATGGAGGCCCACACGCATTCTGCATTTTAGGGATTCACATGCGTGCACGTGCTTTGGGCACTCGGACCGGAAAATGTTCACCATCACTGCACTAGACAAATGGATGAAATGTTCATTTGAATGGTCTAAATGAGACTTCCTAATTTTGCTGTACGCCTACCCTGATGAACCAAATATTGTTTACCCCTTTATAGCTACCAAATTGATTGGAGGATTACGGTATTTGAGAGAATGAGTTTTAAAATCACAGCTGGCAAGTCACAGCGTTTAGGATCCAAAATTGAGGCAGGCTTTCAACACAATCAAGGCATAATCATTATTGAACTAAAGTGGGCTGGCTTTTCCTAGGGATAGCTTGCAGCTGGAATATAGTATGGTCTCCAGCCACTAAATATGAGTGACAAAATCCAAGGCAACTCTTTCTTGTGCTCAAATGAAAAGGAAAACATAATTTTCTCACATGGCAAGTTCCTGCCCAGGAAAATGTACAGCAGCCATTTATTTTATGTAGAATAATGGGCCATGTGCTTTCCAAATGCACTTACCCCTTGGATAGTTATAACCATCCCAAAAAATTTGTTTTCTGTGTGCATGGAAAAAGTACTTGAGTTCAACATCTGGACACAATCGTCTGAACATTCCCAGTTGGAAGAAGCTACTGGCCAGGCCTCTGCCAACACTTCATGAGCCCTGGGTCTACGACCTGAAGAAGCAGCCCACTGAAATTAGCTTTAAACATTTGATTAGCTTTAGTTAGCTTTAAAGCTTCACATCCTTCTGCATAGTTTCCTCGGTAAGGGAGGTATGGGTCGTCCTTGACTTTCAACAGTTCATTTAGTGACTGTTCAAAGTTACAACAGGATTGAAAAAAGTGATTTATGACCGTTCTTCACACTTATGACCACTGCAGTATCCCCTTATGGCCTCATGATTAAATTCAGATGCTTGGAAACTGACTCATGTTTACGACAGTTGCAGTGCCCTGGGGTCACAGATCACTTTCTGTCACCTTCAGACAGGCAAAGTCTGTGGGGAAGCCAGATTCACTTAACAAATGTGTTACTAGGTTAACAACTTCAGTGTTTCACTTAACAACTGTGGCAATAAAAGTAGTGAAATGGGGCAAAACTCACTTAACAAATATTTCATTTAACAACAAACCATAAGCGGGACCTGTGCCCTGAGAAGCCACAAATATAGTAGCTGAAATACCTTCACACTTGCAAGAATACTGCTCACCCAGAGGCCATGGAAAGAGAGGAAATCAGATACAGGAGCACAATGAAAGAAACAGGAGAGGCAACATTTTGGAATCATTTCAACTGTTCTGCTTGTATCCTCTTAACAGGGAGGCAGGAGCGCTATGAAGTTTAAGGATGCTTTTCTCTCTTCAGTATGGGGGGAAAACCTGGACTCAGAATCTCATTTTAAATGCCAACAGAAGCAAGAGTGAGCAATTACCTTTTTCTCTTGACCCCCAAAATGCAGTTTCCTCTCATTAAACCCAGTATAAATTCAACGATCTGAAAGAAGAAGGGAAAAATAAACAACCCTTTCTCATCTCAACCATCACAGCCTCAAAATTAAGCACAATATTCAATGGTGCAAACTAGAACTGGCAAAAGTCTTTAAAACTTTCTGTTAACTTTTGCCTTTAAAACATACCTCCTCCAGATAAATCACACAAACACATTCTGTGTGTACTCACACATACTTCCATGCTGTTATCACAAACCACCTTAGGTAAGATTTAACATCTACACAACAGATTTTAAAATCTCCAATACATTAAGCAGTGGTCCACATTATTTACCTTTATTGTAATAATTAAAAATTGAGCTAATAAAACATGGACTGAATTCATCACCTTACATGCCATCAGGGCAGAAGCTGTGTTAACAGAGCAATGGATCACATTGGCAACATCCTTGCTACCTATTTCCTCAATGTCAACAGGCAAACCTGTTCCAGATTTTGGAACCCTCTGCAATTCTCTTCCATTTTCTCAGGTGCATCTTTAAAGATGGCTACTATAAAGACATTCAAAGCTGCTTCGTTTCATCTTTTCTCTCCATCTATCTTTGACAGTGGTGTATCTCTGAATGTTGCATAAACCTGGACACAGGGAGTCATTTGATGCAACTGTTGTACAAAATATTCTAAAAGTCCTTTCAACTAAAAGTACAGTAAAGGCAGTTTAAATAATTAATCAATCTCTGGGAGAGTCACTCCACCGGGATTTAACTACGGTACTTCTGATCTTCCCACTCAGAATGCAAAAAAACCCCAAAACCCACCACATAATTATGTTCACTGACACTCTTAGTTTCTACATTTCTTGTGATTCTCTGTTCAGGCCTCTATATTTACCCGATTCAGAATAAAAAAACGTAAAAAGCCTATTTTTGACCTGTGCATGAATAGTACTGTGAGAGTTTTCTTACACAGAGATTGACTTGATGCATTCAGCCTTAACCAAGATGTAGAGAATAATATAAAGTTATAGGGCGATTAACTGTGTTATCAACCACAGCTTTTTGCAACCAACAAAATTTGCCTGCAGTTTACTTTAATGGTTGCTCCTTTCTTTGGTTCAGTTAAACTTCTGAACCAATGGCCTATCCATCTACTGCAAAATGATTTATCTAGACCACACAGATTTTAATATTTTAAAAGTTCTCCAGGACTTTTTTGTTGTTCTTTTTTCTTCCATTCGAGTTCTTCCAAGTAATCAGCAGGGCTTCCCCAACTTTCTAGCCCTCCTGGAACTGTCAGTTGAGTCTCTTCCTTTCAGTTATCTCTGTGAATCTGAGAAATATTTCTATTTTGCATTTGGACTACCATATTTTTCGGAGTATAAGATGCACCTTTTCCCCTCCTAAAAGAGGGTGAAAATTTGAGTGTGTCATATACACTGAATGTAGCCCCACCTACCCACCGGCCCCACCCTTTGGCCGCTGCCTTCCAGCAATTTACCTCCTTGCAGCAAATGGAGAAAATGGATTTTGCAGAAGCGACAATAGGCTATGGCAATCCCTGCAGCCTGAAACAACTGATCATCGGGAGCCCTGTGCCTAAACTGAAATTGAAAGTGAAACTTGCTGTTTACTGCAAGGAGGCAAATTGCTGGGCGGCAGAAACAGATTTTTTTTTCTCTTCTAATCAGGCTAAAATGAAACAGTCTGTTTGCTGCAAGGAGGCAAGTCAGTAACTATAAATGCCTATAGAATATACAAATTATTACTTATTTTTTAAAGACTGCTTTATTGTTGTTCTACACAACTTAACAAAATGAAGAAGCTTTTTAAAATAAATGCTTGATCTGAAGAGGCCCAGTGCTATTGTATCTTCTTTTAAATAGCAGAGAATAATGCTTCCAGAAAGCCACATCAATTTTAACAGCATCTGTACAAGTATAGTCTGAAATGTAACACCACAAACAGTGTATATCTCCTGTACTGTTTGCTGTAAGGAGGCAAATTGCTGGGAGGCAGATTTCCCCACCTCTTGTTTTCCTCCCCAAAAGCTAGGTGCATCTTATACTTCGGAGCATCTTATACTCCAAAAAATATGTAGGTTCTTTTCTTCTAAGCACTTGGACGGACTAGATCACTCTTAGGACCCTGAGCAACTGATTCCTGGAGGCAGCATTCCAACCGTGCCCTCTCCTGCCTTCAGGGGAGAGCCCCAGGCGAAGGGCGGCTGCTCTGGAGCAGAGGAGAGCGCCAAGCTAAGGCCGGGCTATTCTCAGTACCTTCGACAAGAGCTGCTGCTGCTGGTTGTGCTTCTGACGGAGGAAGGCCACTTCTTTCCAGAGGGCTTTGTTTTCCCTGGAAATGAGGAACAGAAAGAGGCAAGTTGAAAATGAAAGTGAGTGACTTCTATGGGGTTCAAGTCTAGTCCAGTGGAGGCTTTTGTAAGAAGATTTGGGTTGCTGCAAAACGTAAGGAAATGAGGGGATGTGTGGAAGCAGGAGGAGACTAACCAGTTTTCCATTCCAAGAGACCTAGAATGGAAAAGGAGATGCCACAACTTTACGGGACTTTCCCCTGGGATCTGGAGGGGCACAAAGAGGCTTTTCTGAAACGATGTGGGGAAATGGCTACACCTTATATATGCTCGAACTACAATAACTGCCAAGGTCTTTTTTCAGCTCTGCTCCATGAGATCCTTTAAATGGGAGACTTGGGAGTCACAAGAGATCACTGCTCAGGGGCAAAATATCTGACCTGCAGAAAAAAGCACCATCATTTCGAAGAAGAATGATTTCTTTGGAAGGGGACAGGCAGAAAGTTTTCTATCTGCAGACATCAATGGGTTAGATAGCCTATCAGCCCAGTCCTTCATCAGGCAGCTTTTTCCCAATGACTATGGATCTTTTCACGTCCCACAGTAGACCACTCTTAATTAAAACATTAAAGGACAACAACCATTAAATTTGCAGGTGAGTTAAAATCTCAGGTAAAATACTGCAGCTGAGCAGGCCAACACAGTAACCAGCAGGAACAAGATCTTTGGGGACGGAGGACAAAAAAAAATTAATAAGGAGTCTTCCTCCTAGATTAGCAGTTATTAATAGCCACAATAGCAAGATCCTTTATTTTCTTTTCAAAGTGAGTGGTGCTGATAACATGGCATAATGTTTGTTATTGGAACAGAAGGAGGTATTCCAGGATGCCAACAAGTCCACCTTTCTGTACCCAGGCAATCCCTTCATTCTATCTGCAGCTTTATAGATGGGGTGGGAAACTCCTCTCTCATGATTTGCCTCTCAGTACTTGCTCATGGTGCATTCATAGTGCTGCACCTTTTCATACTTTCCAGCTTGATGTCCATGCTGTTCTGCTGCTCCCTCATCTCCTGGACCTCTGACAACACTTTGTGCAAGTCATCTGGACAGATTTTGAGATCTTCTGGCCTTACTGTGGCCACCTGTGACAGGGTAGACTGAAGATGATAAGATGGAACATGTTTATAAGAAACAAATGCAACTGAAATTTGACTCATAAGGAGTGAGGACGCTGGAAACACAACCTTCCCCTTGCTGATCTTAGATGATAACCCAAAGCTGCTGTTTATGCCCACTCAGGAAATGCTACCTGGGCTCTCACCTACCCCAGTACCAGAATTGTACTGAGAAAGCAGAATTGTAACATCCCATTCAGAAAAGCACTGACACACGTCTAAAAGGAAAAGGCTAAATCTCAGAAGTCTATGACTGGCCTTACGGTTGGTCAATTTTGCTGTAATGTTCACATCATTGTTCATATGATCTTGGGTAGAGAAATAAAAGATGTACCAAACTTTAGGAATGTATCCATTTATTTAGAGGTTTGTCCTTACTGTGCTTGGAATATATTAAAAATAATAATACTGAGTTGTCAAAAGCATCCACTGAAAAAAATTGGTTCACTCTCAGCTTGAATGAAAGTCATATTGGTATCATCATTATGATGATCCTGCACAGGCCAGGTTTAATTTGTGCCTTAAAAACTAAGTTGTTTTTACATAACATATGAGGTTTTGTTTTTCTTTTATTGATTTTTGAAATATACAGTCATACAGAAAGTATGTAACTGTAATTATACTTTGCAGCTGGCAGTTCCACAGCCCCAGAGTTTTGCAAGTAACTCAGTATTTCACCCATTAGAAAAAGAATTAGGTAAATGTTCCCCTCGCACATAGGTTCTAGTCGTTCCTGACTCTAGGGGTGGTGCTCATCTCCGTTTCAAAGCCGAAAAGCCAGCACTGTCCGAAGATGTCTCTGTGGTCATGTGGCCAGCATGACTAAATGCTGAAGGCGCATGGAACGCTGTTATCTTCCCACCAAAGGTGGATCCTATTTTTTGAACTGCTAGGTTGGCAGAAGCTGGGACAAGTAACGGTAGCTCACTCCGTTACGCGGCACTAGGGATTCGAACTGCCGAATTGCTGACCTTTCTGATCGACAAGCTCAGCGTCTTAGCCACTGAGCCACCGCGTCCCCTAGAGAAAAAGAATTAGCATGGATGGAAAACATCAAAGCCAAGATTCCTTTCTCGAGACTAGCTCAACTCTGGAGACTTCATGAACCCCCTGTTTGCAAGCGGCTTCCATATTATCTTTTCACCCATCCAAGCACTAAAGAGAATCAGCCCTGCTTAAGTTTTGGGGGTGGACTTTTAGGGGGGAGGGGGAAGATCAGTCAAATTCCAATTCAGTTTTGCTCATAATGCTTTAAACAGAAAATAGACCAGTTAACATGTGATTGTATTGAACAGAGGAATTTTAACCAGGCAGCACTCTAGGAAACATTACCTTCCTCTTGATGTTTGCCAGCAAATCCACCTTCCCTCTCTTGAAAAACGGATGCTGAAATTCAATGGCAATATTCTTGCCAGAGGTGATCATGCCATTTTCAAGTGCAATCACTTTCCTGAAGCCATCTGCAATGACATCAGAGGAAATTAAATGTGTTTGTGTCTTTGAGAAGCCCACTTTCATTTGAATTCTTTCCTTTTCCTTTAGCTAGGTGCAAACTCCCCACTCAAAAGAAGAGTTACAGTGGTCATATTCTGATATGATGAAATCATTTCCTTTTTTCCTTCTTCAAAGCGAAGAGATCAGAGTGATAATAGACCAATGTAAGAACAAAATCTGGAAACCAGCGGGCAAAGTCAAGGAGGGAAGATGCATAACTCTTACAAGGCAGCCTGGGATTCTTTTGAGTTTTTGAAACTGAAAGGACTAAATTAGATGCTTTGCAGAATGAGCTATGTTATTTAGTATCCACAATCCCACTCGGTGCATGCAGCAAATAAAGACTCATGGACCATTTTTTGTTTCCAAGAGTATAATTTACTGGGCAGATATGGATATGGAAGTAGTGAAGCCAGTTCTAATGGTTTCACATGCAATCAGCATAGTTAAATGCTCCCTTCTTTTCCCTGGCCCTCCCAATGTCACTTTACTCAATCCAATCAATTATGTTCGTTTTTGTTTGGGAGAACTTTCCCAGATGGTGATCTTGGAAAGCTGGTATGTCTTGCTGTGGAGTCTGTGCTCTTGCATTCCATCATCCCCTTCCTTGCATTCCAACCCATACATCCTCACCCCCCACCCCCCAATTGCTTCTTGTCTGGCTGTGACTCCTCTGGGATCAGCAATGTCTCTTTGAGGAAGGTTAATACCATCAAATTTTAAAAGGACCTTTTGCCATGCTTATAATTGACAATTTTTAATCTATCTTCAACTTTCCCTTTTCAGCTAAGGTTGTTAAGGAAGTGGTGAGAACTCAGCTTCCAATGGAGCCATTGTAGCTAACAATGGCATTTAAATGGGCTTGTCAAAATCTTTGTATGTGTATGTGTGCTCACGTGAGATTGACTGGAAGTTGTGGGATTTCACTGTGCTCATAGCTGCTATTAGTCTGTAGAGATTCTCAGTCATCCAGGTCATAGTTGTCCCAAAGGTGCTTTTTCAAGAGGCAACCGGACTTTCTTGTTTTTTCTTTAAAGATGTTTTGCTTCTCATCCAAGAAGTTTCTTCAGCTCTGACAGGATAGTGGGGAATGGAAAGATTTATATTCCTTGCAGACAGCTGGTCATTTGCATCCTTGCAGCTGTCTGCAAGGAATATAAATGGAAGGATTTCATTTATACGAAGATTAATATTTCATTTATAGTTATAGTTATCTGCAAGGAATATAAATGGAAGGATTTATATTCCTTGCAGACAGCTGGTCATTTGCATCCCTGCAGCTGTTTGCAAGGAATATAAATCCTTCCATTCTCCATTATCCTGTCAGAGCCAAAGAAGCTTCTTGAATGAGAAGTGAAAGTCTTAAAAAAAAACCAAGGAAGCCCAGTTGCCTCCAGAAAAAGCACCTCTGAGATGTATAGCTGATATTGTTACTTACTGTACATCCTCTGCAAGGCTCCTGCAGCTACTTCAAAGGCCACTGTATGGACATGGTTATGGAGCTAGCATACTACATATAGATGGTGTTTCTGTTGCCTCCCAGCGTAGCAAACAAGGGTGCGTGGCCTACATGAGCCAGGCCTCCTGGGGCCTCTATTAAAGCAGTTACAGGAACCTTTCAAAGGAAGTTGCTCCTTCATATCCCAAATGCAAATTTAAAAAAAATCCACATATTGCTTTACAACTATTGTATGCTAGGTGAATATTATACCTTTTGCATAAATCCAGTTATGGGGTTAAATATTTAAATAATTTGTTATGTTTATTTTCCAACAGTTTAGGTAGAGGACGGCATTTTTTAAATTTTAATGGACACTGGGTGCTGAAAACAACAAAATATAGACAGAATCTGATACTTACAGATGTTGAGCTGTCGTATAAAGCTAGACAAATTGTTGTGTTTGAAGTACTTAGGGAGCAATTCTTTAGCAAACCTCTGTTCATCCAAAATGCAAAAATTCTGTCCGTTCTAGAAGAGTTAAGAAAAAACAAGTACAGTAAGAAAAAGAAACTAAAGAGGTCAAGATCTACTACTCAGTGGCATCACTCGGTCTATTTTAGTGCACCTCACCCAGTAGCATATATTGGTGGTGCACTGAACAGACTGGGAGAGATGCAACTTCCATCTCTTAACTAAAGAGAACCCACTAATGCAACCAGAGAATGATGGCACAGCAATCCATCTCCAGCTGTCTCTACTGAGCCAGGAGATGAAGCGTCTCAGCAGAACTTAACAAGAGGGTGAAAGAAAACTCTCTGCAGAAGCTGCTAGAACCATCTTTCTCCCTCTCCCTCATTATTTGGAGATATGTTTTGGTTTCAGCTTCAGTAGCAGAGCTCCCATCAGCAACCCTGCTTCAGCCCTAGCTACCTTTTACTTGTTTTAGAGTTACAGAGCTGAGATTTATAACCGGTTGCAGTCGTTAATGTCCTTAAAGCTATAACGGATTCACAAAATGACTCCAAATATAAGAAGCTTTTTTCTGAAAAAAACGAGCTTTGGATTTTTAATGTGATGGCACATATTGACAGAGTGACTGATGGGATGTAAGATGCAAAAAGATGTGAAATGTATTTATTGTAAATTTATATATGTGCACACCCAAACCACAAGCCAACAATATATTTTGATTTGACCTCCATCCGTGAAATGACAGAGTCCAGTTCTGATTTTTCAGACATTAATCATACCAAGTTTGGGTGTTTTTATTCATTATTTTATTTTTTATTTTGCTTTCAATGCCACGTTTATCATACAGTATATAGTAGTATCATATAAACAATATAAAGTGCATTATTGATTGGACTGCCCATCTTAGCACAAGGCAAATCTGGGTGGCTTATAAAGTTAAAAGATAAAACTAAACACCATCTATAAACAATACAAATACAATACTATTGTCACTCGAGAGCAGGTCAGGAATGCTTCATAAGTTGACAGCTATAAAAATACAAATACTCAACTCTAACTAAGAGATGAAGAGGGAGGGAATAGGATGAGTGGGTGGGGGAGAGATTAATCTGTTGTTAATCTATCAACCACCTCCCAGTGTGCCCCAAGGTCCATTATTGCCCCTAAAGAATAAATAAACCTATGTTACACAAATAGAAATGTACCAAAAAAACTAGTAAAAAAGAGACCTAAAATTTCAATTTCCAAGCCGTTCCACATAGCAAGAACCTACGCTGTGACTTGACAATGTGCCACAGTTCTGGATTCCAAGTTGAATCTTGGAAGGCGGGAACCACCACACACACATACCCCTCTGGTGTGGCCTCAGGCATCTGCCCGCACGATCCAAGTGAACTGCAGAAAAAACAATTATTGCCAACTTGCCTTCCATTGAGGACCTGTACACTGCACCAGTCAAAAAGAGGGCCGTGAAAATATTTACAGACCCCTCATATCCTGGACATAAATTGTTTCAACTTCTACCCTCAAAACAATACTGTAGAGCACTGCACACCAAGAGAACTAGACACAAGGACAGTTTTTCCCCAAGCACTATCACTCTGCTAAACAAATAATTCCCTCACCACTGTCAAACCCTTCACTAAGGCTGCATTACTATTACTATTAGTCTTCTCATGCTTCCTATCCCCCATCTCCTCCCATTTATAACTGCAGGACTGTAACTTTGTTGCTTGTATCCTTACAATTTATATTGATATTGACTGTTTCCTGATTGCTTACTTGTACACTGTGACTATTATTAAGTGTTGTACCTTATGATTCTTAACAAATGTATCTTGTCTTTTTATGTACACTGAGAGCATCTGCACCAAAGACAAATTCCTTGTGTGTCCAATCACGCTTAGCTAATAAAGAATTATATTCTATTCCTATTCTTTATACTATTCCATTCTATTATTCTATTCTATTTGCAGCCCAGGGGGTTACCACCAGCTGCTTATGCCTTGGCCAAAGAATTCTTGGATGCCATATACATGCACCCCTAACCTTCTATTTGTCAAACCCCGTTTGCCTTCACAGCAAAAGCATCACCTGGCAAAATAGCCCAAATAAATATGGCAGCCCTTGAAGCCACATGGCCAGGAGTAAAAGAACCCTTGCCGTTATGAATTAGCCCATGAAGCAGGCTGTTCCTGAAATAAAACTGATATGGGAATTGCTCAACAAGATTCACAAAATGCAAGTAGGCCTCTTTCTCTGACATGTTACAAGCAGCATTAAAAGCGAAACTGGGGCAGATATAATCCAATTTTTCTCAGGACAACTAATCCAGATCCATGTGCGATATTCAGCCCCAAGGTATTATTAACAAATTGACAGGTGAATACCAACCTGCCCATTCTTAAGAATTCCCTTAGAGAAATATTATAAAGCCTCAGAACATTAATGAAAATCATTTTTGTGGTTCAGAATCCTAGATAATCCCGAGAAAGTTGCCTGCAGCACTGTAAGTGCATAAAATGATTTATTAAAATGAATCCAGAAAAATGGGACTTCAACTGGAAAGTTTTAGCTGGTTCCAACTAATTTTGCAAACACCCACATAAATACTTTGACAACATGTCTTTGCATGCCTGCATTCATTTGAAAACAAAATACTAACCCAGTAAGGTAATGCTTGAATTAAAGGAGGGGGGGGGGAGAGAGCCAAGACTCCAAGTCATACAATGTCCAAATGTCCCATTTCTGAAGCTACACAATCCCGTTGTCCATCTACTAAACAGCCTGTGTCCCAAAGATGCTTTTTCAAGAGGCAACTGGACTTTCTTGTTTTCTTTGAAGACATTTCGCTTCTCATCCAAGAGGCATCTGAAGAGCTGAAGAAGCTTCTTGGATGATAAGAAGTCCCAGTTGTTTCTTAAAAAAGAACTTCGGGGACAACCATGACTTGGATGACTGAGACTCTCCACAGATATAAACAGCCTGTGGCTATTCAAAAGCTGAAAATAATTGGAAGCAAGCATTTCATAATAAAAAAAATGTGAGATTTAGATGTGATTTGTTTGCCCCAACACCTAGGTGTAATGTAAGGACCTACCCCACACCATTCAATATATTTCTACATCAGAAATTATCCTTGGTTTCATTTTTATATATATATGGGTAAAGGTAAAGATTCCCCTTGCACATATGTGCTAGTCGTTCCCGACTCTAGGTGGCAGTGCTCATCTCTGTTTCAAAGCCGAAGAGCCAGCACTGCCCCGAGACATCTCTGTGGTCATGTGGCTGGCATGACTAAACACCGAAGGTGCATGGAACGCTGTTACCTTCCCACCAAAGGTGGTCCCTATTTTTCTACTTGCATTATTTACGTGCTTTTGAACTGCTAGGTTGGCAGAAGCTGGGACAAGTAACAGGAGCTCACTCCGTTATGCGGCACTAGGGATTCGAACGGCCGAACTGCCGACCTTTCTGATTGACAAGCTCAGCATCTTAACCATTGAGCCACTACGTTATCTGCCTACAAATATATTCTATGAGCAAGGGGCCAACCAGCAAGGTCAAAATTTTCCAAGAGGCAGGCTTGGAGCCACAGCCAAAGCCCTCCCCGTTTGTACTTGCAGATATGAATGACAGCAGAGACAACAATGTTGACATCTTGTTATTTTCATGCATGTTTTATTTCCACAATGTGCTACTTGTATTACAGACAGCAGCCACATTTCAACAGCACATTCTGGCAAAGCATTCTGTAATTCTAACCTATTCAATTTAATAAATTACAATATAATAAAAAAATATTGCTGAAAATAAGTATAACTAAAATACAATCCAATTCAGTATCATGACTGTCATTATCATGGTATAAAATGTTGCTATCATTCTGGAGATTTTCTAACATTGGACATTTAGAAGATAAGGATTAATCAAGGCATGGTACAGCGCTCTCTGTAGTGGAGATATTAAGTGTTAGTCCTGTCTCTTTGGATCAAAGTCAAATTTCTCTGATTGGGCTCTCTCCAGATCAGGACTGAGCATGGATAAAAAAACTGGGGGCTACAATACATCAGGCCAAGCTGTTATTTCTTCCAAGAAGAGCAGCATCTTGAGCTAAAGATTCATCCCTGAAATTGTGTCAATCCAGTATTTCAATTGGCAGCGTAGTAGGTGATCCTTGATTGAGATGCACCCAAACTTTAGGCAGCAGCATAAGACTAGCACTGAGCAAGGATCTCAAACATTTAGATTGGACTGCTTTAAACCCACAAGTATTCTTAGAAATGCAAGACTATGCACAATACGCCAAATACTTGGGATTTTTACTGTTAGAGAGAAATGTAACCTGCACTGTAAATATATCTACCTTTGCTTCATTTATTACTATACTATTTCAAGACAACCAAATACGTTAGCAGGTGAAAGTTGACCGACAACCCCACTTGCAACACAGACCGAATAACAATATTTTCAGCATATATAAAAATGGAAATTGATTTTGCCATCGATAAAATTTAGCTCTATTAAGGATCTAGAACCTCTAGACAATATCATGTATAAAATCAAATAGGGGAGGAACAGAACATCTGTCTGAATACTTTAGCAGTTGTAATTATGTCACTGAGGTGCCTTCATGCAACATCATAATTAACTGGAGTACCCAGCAATCAACAGAAGAAATTGTTAATTTTCATCAAAATGCCTCAGAAATTAATGTCACTTTTCTATAGAAACTTTTGGTGGACTGGTAGAAGGGAAACACTAATCTACAATCAAGAACTCTAACTCTAAACCCATATATGTCCTTGCTTGTAATTTTTTGTTGGATCACCCTATCAAGAAACTTTTGGTAGAGGAGTTTCACATAACTTTCTAATTATGCCTAATAAACTATTTGGCAATAATTGGCCAGTCTGGTCTTCCCACTCTAATATATTGGGATTATTAGGTCTAATTTGCAATCCTCTATCTTCCCTTTCAAACAGAAGGTTTTATGATCTTTGGTGCATTGCTTTTCAGCTTCATGCTCTTTGTTACATTAAAATTACTTACATAACTTTTGCTACAAGTCATCTGGATTCTCCGCCAAGAGAGCATCGTCTGCATAGACGTATACCCGGTTATGGCCTAACACACCTCAAATGATGCCACAAGCCCTTCTCACAGCACTTATTCATAAGTACATTACGCAAACAAGGAGACAACCAGCAACGCCCATATCAAAAGGAGAGAGGCGGCAGACTTGGTGTTGCCGTCCAAACCTTTTATGCTTGTTGATGTGGTTGGCCACGAAAATCCGTTTACTCTAAAGGATGCGCCCCTAAGCAGCAGCTTAGAAAGGGATCTTGTGATTCTTTGTGGACTGCAAAAGGGATCTTAGAGTCTTAGTGGGCAACCAGATAAATATTAGCCAGCAGTTTGCAGCAGCAGCTAAAAAAGCCAATGTAATCCTAAATTGCATTAACAAAGGGATACAATCCAGATCAAAGGAGGTACTACTACCACTTTATAAAGCCCTAGTAAGACCACACCTAGAATACTGAATCCAGTTTTGGTCACCACACTATAAAAAAGATGTTGAGACTATGAAGAACAGTTACAGGACCTGGGCATGGTTAGCATAGAGAAGGACCAGGGGAGACTTGGCAACAGTCTTCCAATACTTGAGGGGCTTCCACAGAGAGGAAGGGGGTCAAGTTATTTTCCAAGGCACCCGAAGGCCAGACAAGGAATAATGGATGGAAACTGACCAAGGAGAGATTCAACCTAGAAATCAGGAGGAACTTTCTGACAGTGAGAACAATCAACCAATGGAACGGAAGTTGCTGGAGCTTCATCACTTGAGACTTTCAAGAAGAGATTGGACTGCCATCCGTCAGAAATGGTGCAGGGTCTCCTGCTTGGGCAGTGCGTTGGACTAGATTACCTTTAAGGTCCCTTC